GCCATGATCGACACTGGATCCGAGCTCAACCTCATATCAGCAACGGCGTTCGAGCATCTGAACATACCCCTTGACATCGATGGGGCTCGCTGGTCACTTCGCGGGATCAGTGGCGAACCGGTCTCCTTGCAAGGATGCGCGCGCGATGTACCCATCGAAATTGGAGGACACAGGTTCGGCCACCACTTCTTCGTCACCCAGGTCGGAGGGAGTATAGGAAAGCAAGATGTCATTCTTGGGCAGCCGTGGCTACAGTGGTATGCTGCAATGATAAGGTATAGTCGTGCAGGGCCTATGACTCTAACCATCTATCCGAAAGGAGATGAGGGTGACGGGCCGGCTGTCTCTCTTAAACTGGTTGCGCCTCATCATGACAGAAATGTCGATCGCCTCGTACAGTCTCACGAGCGGCACGACGTGCAGGATTTTTACTAACGGGACCAGCTAGACCCGATGCGAATTCGCACGCTGTGCCCCAAGCGTCCATCGGGCGTACTTTCTATACCCTGTGCAATGTGTACAATGATCCTGATAATATTGCTGACCTTATTTCTTCTCTCGAGCCACCAGAACAATACGACTCATTCCTTCGACAATTCTATTATACAGCTCCCACTAATACAACACCCCGTGAATCCCCGTGGGTCGATCGAGCTCTTGGACCCAATCCGACATCCGCTCCCGTAAAACGTTACAAGCCCGTTGATCGCAAAGTCCGACCAGTACCCTCATACATGCCGAACCCCTCTGCGCAAACCTTCAAGCCTATTCCATCACCAGAACTCGAGCCGCTTCCCTTGGAACCCCCATCATTAGCCAATTTTGAGCCTTCTGAACGCCTCACGCGAGAGCGTCTTCAAATAATACTGGAGACTGTCCCTAGCGGGTTTCTCAATGCACGTGAGATAGACCTTCTTGTCTTCGTACTAAAGGAGCGCCAATTCGCACTCGCATTCACTGACGCCGAACGCGGCACCTTTTCTCCTAGATACTTTCCGGACTACGAAATTCCTACCATCGAACATGTTCCTTGGCAGCTGCCGCCCAACCGAGTTCCGCGAGCAATTGAAGATGATGTATACACGCTCCTGACTGAGCAGCGTGATGCGGGCAAGTACGAACCCTCATCTGCCTCATATAGGTCTCGCATCATTATTGTTGAAAAGAAGACGGGCAAGTACAGAATATGTCACGACCTGCAGCCCCTCAATGGAGTCACGATTCGCGACTCGGCACTCCCACCTAATGTCAATGATTTCGCAGAAAGCTTTGTCGGGTATGCGATCTACATGATAGCTGACCTTTTCTCAGGCTACGACAACAGGAGGTTAGCCGAGATTTCAAGGGATCTGACCACATTCGACTGCCTTATTGGGGCACACCGGCTGACGACACTTCCGCAAGGCTTCTGCAACGCAGTACAGGAGTTTCAGCGCTGCATAACCCATGTCATTCGTGATGAAGTTCCTCACCACGCTGGAGCATTCGTGGATGATGTCGGCATCAAGGGTCCCTGTAGCACATACAACAACATGCCTGTTGTTCCGGGATCACCCATTCGTCGGTTTGTGTACGAATTTCTCACCACGGTTAACCGCATTCTTTGCAGGTTTGAGCTCGCGGGAATTACTGCGTCAGGTTACAAACTGGTGGCAGCAACCCCGGAATTGCACATAGTAGGTTCTATAGCATCGCTGCTCGGGTGGCATCTGGCACATGGGGTTGTAAACAAAGTCTTGAAGTGGATGTCCTGTACTAATGTTTCAGAAGTGCGCAGCTTTCTAGGAATTGCTGGGGTTGCTCGACGATGGATACAAGGGTTCTCGATTATCGTGCGACCACTCACCAGACTCACGCGAAAGTCCGTTGACTTCGCATGGACAAATGACGCACAAGAAGCGATGGATCTAATCAAGCAACGGGTGACGACAGCACCGGTATTGAAGCCTATCGACTATCAACTCGCGCGAGCAATCTCGCCTCATGATGGACGACCTAGCGATCACGGAATTGTCATTGTAGCAGTCGACTCGTCAAAATACGGTGCCGGGTGGGTCTTGTATCAAATGCGTGAGACTGACAAGCATCCTGCATTGTTCGGATCATGCACCTTCTCAGCGACAGAGTCCAGGTATTCGCAACCCAAGTTAGAGCTATACGGAGTGTTCCGCGCTCTTAAGGAGCTTCGGCATCGCATCTGGGGCCTCTACTTCCGTTTGGATGTAGATGCCAAGTTCCTGAAACAGATGATCCATTCAGCTGACCTTCCGAATGCGCCCATGACGCGCTGGGTATCCTACATACAGTTGTTCGACTTCTACATGCAGCATGTACCCGCGATGGCTCATCAGGCATCTGATGCACTGTCAAGACGTCCCCAAGCTCCGGACGACACGGACGAATCAAATGCTGAGGCATATCTTGATAAGGTATTTGCGGGTATGGAACTTCGAAATGCACTTACTCTCTTTGGTCACCGTCTCCGGACGACGAGGAGCCGAGAATTCTTTCTTGATACCACATCGTTATCAACAGCCAGCAACCTCTCGACACTCGGGGTCTCATCCGCTGGTGAATACGCGCTCACTACCCTCACCGACAGCTCGCTTCTGGGAGAAGATCCATGGACGTCAGCAAGTGTATCTCTTCAGGACTTGGATGGGCAGTTCTTCATCGGCAACGACTTCATGCAACGGAATGTGCCCCAAGAACATTCAGAGGTCTATCAGCTAGGAGACGAGGAGGTGGAATGCCTAGTTACAGAGTATCGCTACGCATATTGGATTGCACCGCAAAGGGTCGGTGAGTCGTTGGGTTCTCCTTATGGGAATGCCCCCTCGCAAAGGGTGTCCGAGACGCGGGTGTTCTACCCTGACATTTCCAGCGAAAGACATGTGAGTGCGGGCCATCGCTTCGGCAGGCCTGACGAAGAGAACGAGGGACAATGGGCCGAAATCACGGCCTACCTACAAGACAGCACATTTCCGAGTCACCTCGAAACACAAGCAGCCCGTCGTAAGTTCATATCGATGTGCGCTCGCTTCACGCTGTCCGATGGACGGCTCTGGTATGTCAAGAAAGGGAAGATGCCCCGTCTCGTTATTACTGACCAACTCAGGCGCAAAACACTGCTCGAAGAAGCGCACAATCAGTGCGGGCACCGGGGACGCGACGCGACGTACCTAAGGCTCTCGGAACGATATTACTGGCCAAATATGTTCGTGAACGTCTCCGACTTTGTTCGCTCCTGCAACGCGTGTCAATTCCGGTCGAAATCAAGGCCGATCATGTCCTACAACCCGTCGTGGACTGTCGCTGTACTCCGCAAATTCCACATCGATACAGTATACATGCCCAAAGGACGACGAGGCATGCGCTACCTTCTGCAAGCAATGGAGCCCGCAATTGGATGGCCTGAAGCTCGCGCTGCCAAGCGCAATACTTCTAAGGCATGGGCAAAGTTCATCTATACTGATATTATCTGCAGGTTCTCATGCATACCGGTATTTGTCTGCGACAATGGACCTGAATTCAAGGGAGCGGTAAAGTATCTATTCGACAAGTATAACATCATATGTGTTCTTGTAGCCCCATATCACCCGGAAGCCAATGGCGTGGCCGAACGTGCACATCCCACGCTCGTCAACTCGATCCTCAAAGCGAGCGGGACAAACGCGAGCGACTGGCCACTATACCTCCACGGTGCTCTGCTCGCAATGCGCACAACGACGTCGCGAATGACAGGGTATACCCCTTACTACCTTCTGTATGGGCAGAACCCCGTCTTTGGCTTTGACGTTGCGGACCGAACGTGGTCGGCGCTCGATTGGTATGCCGTCAAGGATACTGCTGACCTCTTGGCTCTTCGCCTGAAGCAGATCACGCGGCGCGAAGTCGACATCGGGAAAGCAATGGATCGGGTCAACGAGAATCGCAAGAAGGCTGTCGAAGCGCACGAAAGGAGGTACGCAGGTAAGATACAGAAGGAGATGTGGCCGGTAGGAACGCTCGTCCTGGTTCACCAGACGTGGCTAGACAATCAGCACGGACACAAGGGTGCGCTGAGATGGGCGGGCCCGTACGTAGTACGACGGGTTGTTGACCGCTTCTACGAGTTGACGGAGCTCGACGGGACCGTCATGAAGGGAGCCTTCGCTGCTGACAGAGTCAAGAAGTTTTTCTACAGGTACGAAAAGCAATCAATGATGGACCTCCCAAGGCATCGTGAACGTCTTGCACCGGCCGATGCGGATCGTTCCTCACGAGCAGTCGAGGCTGTGGGCGCGCTCGAGAACGAGAACACGCGCATATTCGGATCCCTACGAGAAGACTTGCCCTGTTGGCGAATTGGCGACATTGCAAGAGAAGAATCTGTCCTTGTCGACAACAACGAGCTCATAACCATCATGGCTTCCAATTTGGATGACTTGTACAATATGGCTCCTGGCCGGCACCCCTGGTGGTAGGGTGGTGGTATAATTTCTCTCACTTCTCTTCTTCCCTTCTGAATAATAGCTGATGTATTGGTTGGCGATGCTGAGGACAGCATTGAACTGTCGCCCATCTGTGGTAGGGCCAAGTGGTTCACTGGCAAAATCCGCAGGAAGACGACTTGCAAGCGCGGGTCGCGCGCTTCGTGTTCGGAACCATGATCGCTCCATCTCGGTCTCCCTCGCTGGACCACCTCGTCAACCTCGCACCTCCCGAACAACTACGCAATGCATTCCATGGCTAAACGACGACAGTGCGCATCAAGCAGGAATCGGCGCAGCATATCGTGCGAAGATCAAGACAATAAGATAAGACACGCGCGTGAGGCGTGTAGGGTCGGCAGAAACATTGGTTGTTCGTTTTCTCTCTCTCTTCACCCTGTACCCTCCGTTCTGGACGGCCTGAGCGACGCAGATTGCGCGCGGGACATAGGGTCGAGCGCGTGATCGTGCCTCCTCCGCTTGTTGGGGGGAGCAACGCGTTCGTAAATAGAGTCGAGACTCGTCACGCTGACTCCCCGAACAATAGCCGCGATTGCATG